CTGCCTCCCCACACTGCCGACCCATGTTCATCTTGGAGTCAATGATGACTCCAAAATCCTTTTCCGCCTCCGTGCTGACAAGAGGGGAGTTCCTCAACCTGTAGGTATGGTGCCGGTTGTTCCTCCCCAGCTGCATCACCTTGCACTTGTCTGTGTTGAATCCCATCCTATTCTCATCCGCCCACCCTTGTAACCTGTCTAGGTCAGATTGTAGCCTGTTGATTCCTTCTAGTGTGCCCACGTCCCCCCACATCTTAGTGTCATCTGCAAATTTGAACAGAGTGCTTTTTACCCCCTCGTCCAAAACACTGATGAAGATGTTGAACAGTGCGGGCCCGATGACCGAGCCCTGCGGAACCCCACTGCCCACGTCCTTCCAGGTTGAGAAGGACCCATCCACTACCACCCTCTGGGTGCGGCCCTCCAGCCAGTTGGTGACCCATTTGACTGTGTGGGTGTCTACGCCACAGCCCCCCATTTTCTTAATGAGAACGGGGTGAAAGACAGTGTCAAAAGCCTTCCGGAAGTCCAGGAAGACTATGTCCACTGCTACCCCTGCATCTAATGATCTGGTGATCTGGTCAGGCATGACTTGCCCCTGGTAAATCCATCCTGACTGTTCCTAATCAGCCTTTTCTCCTCCAAGTGCTTAGAAGTGGATTCCTTGAGGATCTGCTCCATGATTTTTCCAGGGACTGAGGTGAGGCTGACTGTAGTTCCCTGGATCCTCCTTCTTCCCTTTCTGAAATATGGACACTATGTTTGCCCTTTTCAAATCATCTGGGACCTCTCCTGATCACCATGAGTTTTCAAAGATGATGGCCAATGGATCTGCAATCACACCAGCCAACTCCCTCAGCAGCCCTGGGTGAATCCCATCTGCTGCCACAGACTTGTACATGTCTAGCTTTTCTATATAGTCCCTAACCTGTTCTTTCACCACTGAGGGCTGCTCACTTCCTTCCCAAACCATGCTGACTGGTGCAGCAGTCTGGAAGCTGACCTTGCCTATGAAGACTGAGGCAAAAGAGTCATTGAGCACTTTTCTGCACCCACTTTCACAAGGTTGCCTCCCACATTCAGTACAGAATGTAATGGTTTTGGACAACCTAATTACAGCAATGTGAAAAGGAAGTGAAAACTTAACATGCGACAGCTGCTCTGCGATGACTGGCCATGTGCCTGCTCTTTTCCCAAGGTGAATGAAAGCTAAACCTAAATATCTTACTGTTCTTTGGCTTGGATGATCTGGTTGGGGGTGGTCCCACTTTGAGCAGGGGGTTGAACTAGATGACCTCCAGAGGTCCCTTCCAAACCTAGTTTTCTATAACTGTATGAGTCTTTCATCTTGGGCTAAGCTGTCATGGTATAACTTTAATTTACTGCAGAGTAAGTAGATGCATATTAGGTCTGTGTCAAGTTTCAAGAGCTGGTTCAATTTGGAGGATACTTGGCCCAATTCCGCAGCCGAATCTCCAAATCTGAACTGAATCAGGAGACCAATCAGAAGGTCCAAACTGATTCAAAGCTCTCTGAATCGATTCCGATAAGATTCGGAGAGCTTCGGAGATTTGCGCAGTCCCTGCTCGCTGCTGCAGGGAGCTGGACCCAGGCTCTCTGCTGGTAAGTAGGTAAAACTTCCATGTATTTACATGGGCATGGTTTATGAAGGAGACTGGAACATAAACATTTAAGGCACATTCTTGGATGTACAGGTGAATATTTAGCTCCAATTTTTATTTTGAGGCAATAACAATATTTAGTTTGTCAAAACAGAGCACTTGTTTAGCAAAGGCAGCTTTTGATTGTACTAGTCTTTTATTAAAAACTGGTCCCAAAACCTGCTTTATTACAGACTACGGGTTTCAGGTGCAAACATTCAATTTCAAACCGTTGCAACAATAAGCATTCTTAGTGTTCTCTAAAAATGGTAGCAGTACTGTCTTTATAAAGACTGTAATAGTGTGAAACCCTGACTCTTATCCTTAACAGACTGGCTCAGTGGTAAATCTTTCAGTACTGCTGTTCATTTTTGCCTCAGGTGAAGACTGACAACATGTTTTAACTGATGTAAACCAGCATAGCTCAGTTGACTTTAACGGAGATCTGCCAATTTGCAACAGCTAAGGATTTAGACCAAAAAGATGAAGTGTTTCAAAATGCAAAAGTGACTCAAATGATTTTGTACATTTAATGTACCTACTAGAATAGCATCACAACAAATAAAGCATATTTTCTTTATTGTAAAGTTTAGGTTGATAGTGAAAAGTGTCTCCTTTGTTATAAGTGGTTCCAATGCCATGGCTTGACAAAATGCCTTCAAGATACCAAAACCTCTTAGGCAGGCTTGTC